CCCGCTTTGTGATAAAAAAAACGGTACCTAGAGCCATCCAAATTCGAATAACTTAATTCTCAACCCGAGTACCGAAATCTGGAAGCCCAACACTGCACGGGGGGGGGGCAAAAAAAAAAATCTCCAGAGCGAGACTACGTATCGGAAATTCTAAAAATGCGCTCTTTTTAAATTATTTTATGATATTGCTGTTGAATTTATTTTTATGGGTTAAGTGCGAAGAACATGATATTTAATATATAAAGGTAACACAAAAAACGTTAAAAAAAAAGCCCCTCTGTGCGTAATATAAAATCTAAACTTACAGATTTTTAAAAAAATTTTTAGTCTTCTAAGCAACTTTTAAATTATAACCAAAAAGATAAAAGAAAAATTTATACTGCATCGAATAATAACATTCATCGAATAACAACATCATTTGTTTGGAAATGTAGAAATTAAATTAAGATTTTTATAACTTTCGGAATGGCAACACTTAGCAAACTTCGGAAATGAATTCCGCAGTAAACTGATAAGAATCGCTTACAGAAATTTCAACAAAATAGGAAAATGTAAAGTGTAACAACAGATATTAAGCAAGAACTAAACCCTTACTACATATAAATCAAAACTCGATTAAAAATCTATGTTTCAGGAAATTTGCTAAGAAATTTTTTCAAAAGTTTCACCTATTTATAAATTTATTATTATTTTCCCCTGCAAAATTAAACTTTTGATTCCCAATATTTACACTGTTTCTATTCACATCACATTTTGAATTGTACGTTTGTAGAGACATTGAAGCAGGAAACATGAAAAATGAGCAATGCCGTCACCAGGACTCGAGCTTAGACCTCTCAAATACGTGCCGAGTGTGCTAACCATTACACCACGAAGGCATGCAGAAGGAGGGAGAACATATAAGTGGGTCGGGTGCACCTACTTTTATATACCTTATAACCCTTATATACTCCTCCTTTTAAAGGGCGACTGGGCATTAAGGGAGCCAATCGCTAAATCCTGGTATTGAGGAATCATCATCCACCACCTTTTCATTCGGGCGCCACTGTAGAATCATTAGGTTATTTTTTGAAGCTGGAGAAGTGAAAATTGACTGATGACCTCGCCTGGACTCCAACCTGGACCTCTCGAATACGCGCCGAGTGTGCTAACCGTTACACCAGAATGGCATGCAGAAAGGAAGAAGAAAATATCTTATAAGTTTTTATTTCAATATATTTTTACTTTTTGGAGTTCAAATATAGCTACCAATGTTTAGGTTGTTATGTTACGTTATGCTATAAAATTTATCATCCAGATTACCTGGCGTGTATTATTATTTCGCAAAATGTAAGGTCTTTAATTTACATTAGATCTGGTAAACAGCCAGTTTCCCTGGATGTTGCTATTCCATTTAATATAAGATCATTAATCTTTCAAATCATAATCATATTGCTTAACAAACTGAAAGATTGGAAACTAACCAAGGCACTTCTTACTAATTAAAAGCTTTGGTATATTCAATTGATATAATTTAAAACACGTTCAGCTGTTAGTATATTGAAAGAAAATTAAGAGTATTTACTGCATTACTCTAATTACTAAAAGATATTTTCTATTTAAAAAAATCCAATATTAAACTTTCTTAGAATCCTTTAGAATTATGATCTAATTTTCTGTAAACTAGGTTATAAATACTGTACAGTTCTATAAAATTTTAGGTAGAGCTCTTACGCAGTTACGTGTGGAAATTCTATAGAGATATACTATATGTTGCCGTGAAAGATAGAAATTAGAAAATGTCAGTATTCTCTACTGAATGTCAGCATATACCAAATATGTCCGTAAAAGACCGAATATTTCGCTATATTCTCATACATTCGACCCATCGTCGGTATAATGTCGACAAGTACCGATAAATGCTCGAGGCATTCGAAATAGAGCAAGAGATTTGTGCAATTCCACGTGTCATAACAGTTTAGGTTGTTGCAATAATAAGATTGTGTAATGTTAATTACATAATTTATATGTAAGTTTATTATTGGTATTTATTAGCCCAAAGAGCGTTATCCCAAAAGGGCTATTAATTTTGTTTGGCATTTTGTGGCTATAATTTGTGGCACTATAAACGGCGTTTCATTTTTCAGATTGTTGCCACTAAATATTACCACCCTGCATTGTATTTAAAGAAATTAAATAATGAAGAATCTGCATGAGTGTATGTTTGTTTCTCGCATTCTGATAAAACAACAAAATTAGAGACATCAAATTTTGAATAGCGTAATCCTTTATTCGAATATAGGCATCTGGAATCCCCGAATTTCTAATTTGTTTATTACCTATTTCCTATTTTGTAAAACTTTTTTGTAAAACTTTGATTAACAAAATCAACAATTTCAAAGCGAGAATGGCAGCGTTGTACAGAAAAAACATTTTAATCTCCAGCGCCCGTGATTGTCTATCGAAAATCGTAAAAAGATATGCTGTTAAATATTGTGTGGTATTGCTGTTGAATTGAATTTTATGTGGTTTAAGTTCGAAGGACATGATATTTAATAAATAAAGGTAACACACAAAATGTTAAAAAAAGCCCCTTTGGACGTAATTTAAAATCTGAAATCTTTCAAATTTATTTATTTATTTGATTTAGTTTACTGCTGGTTTTAGGTACAGGAGTTTGTTTACATGTTCTGTTACTTAAGCTTTCTTCTATTTTTAAAAGTTAAGTATGATTTAGAAAAAGGCATATCTATCTTAAAATAACAAAAATTTATTTTTCAGCATTCACCATCAGTGCATGCTGAATGTCGGCATTGGCCAATGTAAATGAGATATAATGATTTTTTGCAAACATTTCGGACATTCATCAAGCGACTATGTGAAGACATTCGATAGAAATATGTATACAGATTCAATTAAAATTTGGACGAGTTTCTAAAGATCCTATGTGTAAAATCTAATACAGCATATGTAGAATCAACTAGAAGAATTCTATTGAAAATATCATATAAATTTTGCAGAAAATTGAGCTATAAAGAATTCTAGACACCTTCCTTACTCTTTTAATGTCCTATAAAAGATCCTGTAGAAGCTTTTGAAGCATTTAAAAGCACTATGAAATCAACAAAATTATCTTTTGAAATTTAAAGGGATGAATTAAATTTTCACTTTTGAATGGAATTTTTTAACCTAAATTTTGAACTGATTTATGACATTGAGGGAGAGAGATAAAAACGTCGAACTGATTTTTTTTTCTAAGTAAAAAATTTCAATATTGTTTTATTTTAAAAAATATTTTAAATAAAAATAAAAATGTTTTAAATAATAATGAAGTTTAATTAAAATTAAGAATCCGTTTCACATGTCAGTAGTACGTGTATAATAATTAAAGACATTCATTTCAGGAATTAAAATTTTATAATTAACCGCATAAATTTAATCTTCTAATAAATTTCCTATTTTAAAGTGATTTTACGCTTTCACAAGATTTAATTTTTGTATTATACAAGCAATAATACTGTATGAAAAACTGAGCAAAATTTTATATAACTTGAAGCTAAAAACTATTCATCTATATAGTATATTAGGAGCTCAAAATTTGATTTGATTACAGTTCGAAACTGCAGATTTCCACAAAATACCATTTTATAAAATTTCTCTGTGATTTTTACAAAGCAACATTTCTGTAGAATTCTTTTCTATGAAAGCTCTATAAAATTTCATGCATAGAATTTTATAGGGAAGCATTTCAGCAAAGAATTACCTATAAAATGCTATACGAATTTCTCAAGAGTTCTATTAGCTTCTATGAAAAAATTTTGTGAGGGTTATTTTTTTACTAAGTGCATAAATTTAAATTTGCGTTATTTATATAAGGTTTTAAGAAATATGGACATAATATTCTAATCCCCGACATCTGTATTATAACCGGATAATACTGTATAACTAGTTTCTTTTTCTCTACATCTTCGTCAAATAAATAAAAACAATTAATAAAAATATCCAAATAAGTAAATTGAAAAAATCAACTTTGATGTTACTTAATAATTAAATAAAAAATAAAATTTTATAAATATATTTAAATTAATAATTAAATTAAATATTAAATATTAAAGTCAAAATTATTTTAAGACTTTAAATTACGTATGTGAAATATAAATGAATTTGTTGATAAAAATAATGGAAGTAATCTGGAATATAGGAAAAATATATCTAGGTTTTATATTTGATAGAAATCGAAAAACCTGACATAATTCTTCCAAGTTCGCCCTAGAATCGTTTGTAAATTTGAAATTCTGAAAATCATTAATTATTCTAATAGTATAAAATTTAATAAAAATGGTGTCACCAAAAGTATCGAACTCTTTTTCAAAAATGCATACTTCTTATAAAAGGAGTGATTTATTTTATTGATAAATAATATGGTGATATAAAATGATAGACTATAAATTAGGTAAAGATCTTTTACATCATGGGCTGACAAAATATTTCTGTTTTTAGGAGGTTTTTATAAATATTAATGGAAAAAAGTATGCCTTGCACTCAGATTTTTAGATTCCAACTTGATATGCAATTACTGATATATTTCAACTTTATATTAGTTTTTATTTTAATATAAAGCGAGAAATAATAAAAAAAAACCGACGTAGACTTTTTAAATAAGAAGAATATACTTTGCGTAAATAAGCTATATTTAAAAAAATTAAATCTACTATTACGGCAATTATATCATCAGCTATTTTCATAAAATGATAAGATAATAGAAAGTTTTTTAAATTCTTTTCTACTTCTGATAATTTTTTACGTGTGTATACAAAAATAGCATGCAAAATAATTACAGGATTTTTAAACTAAGAACTTAAGATTTAAAAAAAAAAAAAAAATGGGGGAGGGGGTAGAAAAAATTTTTGGCAAGACTGCTTTTTACTACAGTTTGACATCGATTTGTGAGTTTGGCGAAAAACGCGAATGATATTTCTCTTCTTCAGTTTTATGGCAACCTTCCTTCGTGCCGTCACAGATGTCTGCCAATAAACATGGCACCGTCAGTCAGGTGAGTATTTACAATTTCGTTTGCATTCATTTTATTGCCAGTATTTGTTTATTTCATTTGTATTCGTTGGTTCAGACCTTTCCATTTTCTTGCGACAAATTTTCATTTTTCTCTCCGATTCCCTGGCCTGCCATTTTTAAGAAGTGTGAAGTGCCTTTGCGTGACGTTCTATGGATATGAATGGAACCACTTTTGTCGGTAGTTGTACTGAATTGGCGGGATGGAAGCAAAACGGAGATGGATATGGTATGTGTACAGTGTCTGAAATTCCGTACCTTTACTACGGATGTCACGTTTTAAATGTGGATGTTTGATTTGTGGACGTTTGGTAGAATTCGTGGAATTGATTCTGTGGATTACAATCTCTGAAGTAATAAACGAAATTACTTCTATTGACACCTGACGTATTTATGTAAGTATATGTCATACGAATTATTAATTATACTATACGAAATTTACTAGCGAATTCCATTTAGGCAACTTAAAGAAAAAAAAAAAAATTAAATAATAATAGGAAAACGATCTTGTATTTAATAATTAATTTTTTGAAACTTACGAAGCAAGTGAAATGCGAGTAAACGTTCTGGGATTACTTTCCTTATGATCCATTGAAACTCTGCTATAACTACGAAAAATATTCGATATAAGTGTAAAAGCTGCGTATATAAATGCTTGCGAAACATGAAGCAGTAGATATTAAAATCAAATTTTGTTATGTTAACTGAAGAAAGATAAAATTGTTTTCTCTAAGTATTATGATCTTTAAATTTTACCCTTTTCTGTGAGAAAGAAGCACTTTTCTTATATGTATTTTATACTTATTTTTTTTAGTGTTGTAATGCATAAGTGATTGTATCATCTTTTAGCTGTGTGTTAAGTTCTCTTGGATGTGATGTAGGTTTTCCTACACAAGGTCTCTTGGATGTGGTGTAGTGGATTAGTAACAATACATCTTTTAATTATTCCTTTATAATATAAAACATAAAGATTATATATTTGATCTAACTATGTACAGATGTAATAAAAAATGTTATGTAAAAACAGAATACATTTTAATAATTCATTGTGTGTATGTACTTTGAAATAAGTCTAGATCATGATAGATTACATGTTGTACAGTATGTTTCAAATGTATAGATAATTATCTTAATATGTCCAAGATGTTTTTAATCTACATTAAAATATATTTATTTAAATATAGATGTATTTAAAGAGATATACTTTAATAAACGTATATTGAAATAGGTATAAATTAAATAAAATTTTTAATATATATTGGTAATAGATGTTAAAATCCTAGTGTAAATATACATCCGAATTTCCGAGGTGAGGGTTATTACTCACGTGGAATATCGAAAAGCCAGGGAAGTGAAAAAATTAAGTTTCTCAAATAATAAATTCATGTTTTAAATAGCAACCTATTAAAAAATGTTGTTTTAAAAAGAAAGAAAATAGTTACTGTAGTAAGACACAATAACACGCCGAATAAATACTAATTCAGAAGTCAAACAACGAAAATCGGCATTATGTTTTCAAAATTTTCACAGGACTAGTTTCGATGATTTTACCGAACCACCATCCTCAGCTGCAAAACAGCAAATGAACAAGATAGGAAATAATGATTAGATAAGATAAGAGAGCCTGGACAGGAATAAGCAAGTGGCGCCATCTGTTGATGAAACCATAACTAAAACATAATTTCTTTAAAGGCCGAAGGCAAAGATGGATTGGAATTAGGATCGTTAACTAGAACAGAAAGATTTTTTTGAATGTGAAATGCTTCTAGAAAATCTAAATCTCCAATGGAAGATGTTTTTTGAATAATTTTGGCAGCAGAAAAATTGAAAGTGTGATTTTTGGACAACAATGTTGAGCAACAGAAGACTTCTGTGTTTCCTTTTTTCTAACATATGCCTCATGTTCCTTGACGCGAAATTTTAAGGCTCTCTTAGTTTGGCCAATGTAAATTAAACCACACTGGCAAGGAATCCTATAAATACCCCCAGGAATTCATATCCGGAATGGGGTCCTTGAGTATGGAACTCGGAATTTTATTGATGGAAGAATACACAACCCGAAAGTTAAATTTCTGCAAAATATGTGCAACTTTATAGCTAAGTGATGGAAAGAAGGGAATGACAACAGAATTTTTATTGTCTCCTAAAAGAAGAGTGTTCCTTTTAGTGTGTTGAGATGATAATTTTTTTTTCCCCCCGCTACGTAGACGATACTTTTACCCTGTTTGAAGGTAATAAAGATGATTTAAATAAAGTTCTTTCAACAAAGAATTCTATTGATCCTGCTATTCAGTTCACTTTTGAACTTGAGACTTGCAATTCTCTTCCGTTTCTCGACATTCTGGTCACACGTAACACATCCAACTTCAGTACTACGGTTTACCGTAAACCTTCATTGGTTTGCCTTCCACCACACTTTAAATCATGTCATCCGACTAAACAAAAGTTAGCTTCATTTTATTCCTATGTTTTCCGTGCTCTTCAAGTTTGCTCCTTAAAACTAGGATGAAAGAACTAAATTATTTATGAAGAACTAAATTATGATGAAGAACTAAAGATGATTATGATGAAGAACCTTGATGAAGAACTAAATTATTTAAAAGCAATAGCTATTGACAGGGGCCTTTCACCCAACATTATTAATCAAGCAGTTAAAAAATTATCATCTCAACACACTAAAAGGCCCACTCTTGTTTTAGGAGATAATAAAAATTCTGTTGTCATCCCCTTCTTTCCATCAATTAGCTATAAAGTTGCACATATTTTGCAGAAATTTAACTTTCGGGTTGTGTATTCTTCGATCAATAAAATTCCGAGTTCCATATTCAAGGACCCCATTCCGGATATGAATTCCTGGGGTATTTATAGGATTCCTTGCCAGTATGGTTTAATTTACATTGGATAAACTAAAACTAAACTAAGCCTTAAAATTTCGCATCAAGGAACATGAGGCATATGTTAGAAAAAAGGAAACGCAGAAGTCTTCTGTTGCTCAACATTGTTGGTTCGACAATCACACTTTCAATTTTTCTGCTGCCAAAATTATTCAAAAAACATCTTCCATTGGAGAATTGGATTTTCTAGAAGCATTTCACATTCAAAAAAATCTTTCTGTTCAAGTTAACGATCCTAATTCCAATCCATCCTTGCTTTTGGCCTTTAAAGAAATTATGTTTTATTTCTGGTTTCATCAACAGATGGTGCCACTTGCTTATTCTGTCCAGGCTTTCTTATGTTATCTAATCATTATTTCCTATCTTGTTCATTTGCAGTTTTGCAGCTGAGGATGGTGGCTCGGTAAAACCATCGAAACTAGTCCTGTGAAAATTTTGAAAATATAATGCTGATTTTTTGTTGTTTGACTTCTGAATTAGTTACTGCAGTCATTAGTTTTCTCTCAAAACTGTTTTTCTTAGTTCATATCTGAAGCAATTTTTATCAGTCCATATCATTTTTCTATTTAGAAATATGCTTGTTCTGTCTCCCCTTTCTTCAGAAAGAGAATTTCTTTTCAGAAATGACTGACTTCCAAGTCATTACAATGAGTAGTTGTATATTATAGTAACTATATTAATGAAAAATGTATTCAATCCAGGTCAGTTTCTAACTGTTCAGATATATTTTGAAAGAAATACCACATAAGTTACATTTATTATGAATGGTACAATGCTGTAGCTATACATGCATTTGTTTTTCAAAATGAACATTTTTTTTCCATAATTTATTTCTTTCAGGAGAAAAAAAAAGCCTATCTTTTTTCAATGATTTAGAGAGTAAAATAAATTATATTTTTATAATATAGTAATTTTGCTGTATTTTGCAGAGAATACTTAAAAGTATTCATTATTTGTGCTTCATTTTGTAATTAATTCATTATGCCTGCTTCAAAAAATTATTCTGTTTCATTGTGGAAAATTAGTAAAATTAAAAAATTGAATTTCTGGATCCTGGAATATGATCTAAATCTGTAACATATTTATTAATAATATCTATTAAAATTAAAATTAGGAATTAAATAGCTTTCTGATATTATCTATTATATTAGTACCACAATCATTTATACAGTAAGACCCCGCTTAACGCTGTTTCGTTTAGCTCTTGGATGTGGTGTAGTGGATTAGGAACAATACATCTTTTAATTATTGCTTTATAATATAAAACATAAAGATTATATATTTGATTTAACTATGTACAGATGTAATAAAAAATGTTATGTAAAAACAGAATACATTTTAATAATTCATTGTGTGTATGTACTTCGAAATAAATCTAGATCATGATAGATTACATGTTGTACAGTATGTTTCAAATGTATAGATAATTATCTTAATATGTCCAAGATGTTTTTAATCTACATTAAAATATATTTATTTAAATATAGATGTATTTAAAGAGATATACTTTAATAAACGTATATTGAAATAGGTATAAATTAAATAAAATTTTTAATATATGTTGGTAATACATGTTAAAATCCTAGTGTAAATATACATCCGAATTTCCAAGGTGAGGTTTAGTACTCACGTGGAATATCGAAAAGCCAGGGAAGTGAAAAAATTAAGTTTCACAAATAATAAATTCATGTTTTAAATAGCAACCTATTAAAAAATGTTGTTTTAAAAAGAAAGAAAATAGTTACTGTAGTAAGACACAATAACACGCCAAATAAATACTAATTCAGAAGCCAAACAACGAAAATCGGCATTATGTTTTCAAAATTTTCACAGGACTAGTTTCGATGATTTTACCGAACCACCATCCTCAGCTGCAAAACAGCAAATGAACAAGATAGGAAATAATGATTAGATAAGATAAGAGAGCCTGGACAGGAATAAGCAAGTGGCGCCATCTGTTGATGAAACCATAACTAAAACATAATTTCTTTAAAGGCCGAAGGCAAAGATGGATTGGAATTAGGATCGTTAACTAGAACAGAAAGATTTTTTTGAATGTGAAATGCTTCTAGAAAATCTAAATCTCCAA